TGATGTTTACCTGTACTGTTCATTCCCTCTGGGGCACCTGGCATTGGCCACTGTCAGAAGACAGGATACTGGGCTAGATGAATTTTTGGTCTGACCCAGTATGGCTGTTCTTATGTTCTTAAGTAACTGTCAAATATCTGAGGACATTATTCCAGATCTCATAGCAATGCCTAGGGAGATAGAATTTGTACATGGACCTTAGTGAGAGATGGACTTGTCTCCGAGCATTGTATTATGATACCTAGGATATCCTAGAGTAAGGAATAGAAACTCTGCATTTTCTCTAGATTTGAACAAGGTAAGGCAAAGAGAGGGCTAAAGCCAAAAAAAACCATTGGGTCTTGTACTATTCAATAGTTTCAAATAGGCCCTGAAAAACCATTAAATGTTAATAAGTTCAGAAGTCTGAAATGCCATCTTCTCCAAGAGAACAGCCTTTATTGATTCTCCCTCCATCATCTTATTACTGACCATGATCATCATCTCTGTGGAAGTGAACAGCCTGGATGAAGGGTACCACAGACTATCCTAGCGTTGGTCATTTATTTTGCTCTCTTTTTCTTTTCTATGATTGCAATTTACTTCTCATAGCTCTGTTAGAGACGGTTTTATTTGGGATTCAAAATGGAGGATGATCCATTTCTCACTTAAGCTAGAACTCATATTTTAATAGTATTGACCCTGATGGCTGCAGTCTGGAATTAGCTCTGGAAAAGGAAGTAGCTGGAGATACACGAACTGGGTAACTGAAGTTGAAGGAAGCCACCTTGGTTGTTGCCACTAGGAATCCCCACAGTATAAAGTTAAATAATAATCTTTGTATAGAGACTGCAATCTTGGCTTGACATGAGTAACTAGACATGGGTTAGGCCTCATTTCTTGGGAGACAGGATTAGGGAGGTAAATGAATCAGAAGGCTGGGAACAAAATTTCTGTATTAGCTAAAATAAGAGGGAGCACCCAATGGGCAAGATGATAATGGATAAGTCTGGAGTGTAAAATGAGGTAAAGAGCAAGTTGTGCATGGACAATGCGTGCTGTATAGGGATTGGTTCCTACAAAGTGACTAAGCCAATTCCAAAACCTGTGATGCAATGTACACTAAATGCAATGGATGTGTAAATGTGTATAAAGGAAGAGGTTTGCTGTGTAACTTTGGATGTGTGATATTCCCTATACCCACCTGTGCTTGAGTCTGATCAACTCAAGTGTGCTTTAATTGTATGCCAATACAGAAACATCAGTGATGAGTTCAAAATTGAGCCAAGTTCTTGGGAACCAAGTGGATAAAGTCTTGGATGCTACTGAGAGGGGACAGACTCTCAGAAGCTATCCCAACATATTCCTGAGTGGATAAGGTCTCAAAGGCAACCCCAAGAGAGACTTATTTCTTTGCTTGTACTTTATCTGTGTTCATTGCATATTGGCTTCACACATAAGACCACACATTTTGTGTTACACCCTGAACTGGATTACATAACTGAAGTTGCATTCTCTTTCACTTCCCCACCACATGTTGACTACACTGTGACAGTCCTGACCGAGCTGGGCAATAACTTAACGAGTGTGTCAGTCATTTGAGCCATCCATCATTTTAAATTTTATTTTATTCTAAATAAAGGAGGCAAAAGACTAATACTTTGTGCCAACAGACTCAACCAATGTTTATCAAGATAAATTTATGGTTTTTAAGGCTGGGAAGGACAAGTATGATCATCTTCTCTGACTCTTTTGCATAACACAGGCCATGGAATTTCACTTAATTCCTGCATCAGGCTCAAAACTTCTAGTTAAGCTAGAGCATAGAAACTTCTGTATCAAATTTGCAACATTTGAGACTTCCTGGACTTACAAAAAATAAACAATGAATTCTGTTTTGTTCCCAACATAGGAAAGTGGTTTTCCTTTATTATTTAAAATTGATATCAGCATTGGAAATAAGAACCACGATCAAGAAACATCATTTTAACTCAGAGAACAAATTCATATCAAATTGCAGGATGTTGCAATACATATAAAGGGTGTTTGAGCAGTCTACGGCTCAAATACATGCAAATCAAGTATTTCTTAAATATCAAAGAAATATGATCCATACAAACTACAGCCACAATTCCCAAGCCTAATATTACTATTTTAAGATATATATTACTCTATTTGGCTTGAAACTTTCATTATAGTTACTGAGACGTGTGGGTCATTCCTCATGCAGCCATATTTATATTTATTCTTATTATAAAAAGTTAATGCTTGAGTGTGCAGCAAGCCCAAGAGTGTAGTATCCAGAATAAATCTTGTAAGTGTCTAGAAAATGGACAGAGTCTATTTACCACAGTATTTTTCATTTGTATGGGTGATACAGTGGGTCATTATGACAAGGTGAAAGGTCTTTAAGCCTTCATTTTTAAGCCACAGGTGTTCTTTGTAGAGATTTTTTTTAATAAAGAATATTATTGGTCCTTTAAATTAGCTCTTATTGCAAGTTACCACATCTGTGCTATGTGGTAATGAAGCAGGGAGAGAGGTCATAGCGGGGGACTTGTACTTGAAGAAAACATCTGGACATTGCTTTGAGATTCACTAGCAGCTTATATTTTATTAAGCAATAAGGAAATTTATACTAAATTCAACTGTAAGATTTAGACAGGTTAACAGGTTAATAAAAGTAAAATGAAAAAGCAAGAAGTGGAAAAATTTAGCACGGTCTTCCCAATTAATTCCAATTCAAGAGATTAAATTATCCATAAAATGGCAGCATTCATTTTATAAGATTCCTTGGGCAATTAATATGTTGATATATTATTGTGATATTTTCTCTTTTACAGTAGAGCTCACATTAATTACTAATATACTATGTAGTGAGCTATATGCCTCTTTCTGGGCAATAGTTATTTCTGTTACTACATCATTCAGTTCTGGAAAAGATGCCTTTAGAGGATGAACTTGTATCCTTTTACAGGCCACAGTCTCTGTCTCTCTCTCAACTTCCCATTGGCTGATAAAAGGCAAAAGATATACAAGTCTGTATGCAACAATTGCACCTGTGAGGATAACAAAGATCAGGTTTAAGGCTGGGTTTTGTCTATCTATCTAGAGAGATATACATAGAGAGAGAAGAATTCGGGAAAAAGTCTACTCATCAATGCAAGAGACATTTAACCTTCAATGGACACCTCAGCGGGAAGTAGCACTAAACTTAAAGGGCTGAAACTCTATGTGACAGTTGGTTCTCAACTAGTAATGCTCTGGCTAAATATTTAAGAACTATCCTATTAAGTAATCAAAGCTAACACATTAGCTGGGTCAGTTGACTGACTATTCAGCTACTTGAGACAGCTGCTTCATGGAGCAGAAGGGCTAGAAATGTTTATAATACACATTTAGCAAGTCCTACATTGAGAGTACCACTGGATAGTGCGCTCATGAGACATCTTCTCATTTGAAGATATTTACATTTGCAGCTGCCAATACCACATTTTTATTGTATATACCACACTCATCCACATAGTATCTGAGCACCTTCCGGTAAAGCATTAAGCAATGTGATCACCATCTCTCACATATATGTTCTCTCATGCTCTCCTCATGGTAAGAGGCATGTGCATTTCAGTCCATTGCTTAAATGTCAACCTATTTCATTCTTACAAATCTTACTTTTTATTACACAGAGCTTCTTTCCACTGACACTTCCATTATAACATACACCCTATATGCAATTTATTAATTTCCAATCAGAGATTCCAATCCAAGTGATACAGGGCTATACATTTCAGTTTACTCACAGCAGTTTTAATAAAATAATCCCACAAACAAGTTATAAAAACTATTATAGATCAACCACAATGGAAACTGCTCCAGCAACAATGGCTGCAAGTGAAGTTCATTATAATGTATATTGATGCCTGCTAGAAAAATATCATTGCGAACGGTACATGAAAAATATTAAGACAGGAGACAGGACTTTTTTTCCCCTTCCCACTGGGTGTTTTATTTTATAGCATTTGCATCAGTAATCAACACTTCAACAACAGAAGCTGGCATGATAGTGAGGAAAATTGAGTAATTCTCTCTCAAACAAATGTGACAAAATGGTTTCACATCAGGATAATATTGCACAAATGAATCAATATATGGAGAGAGAGGAAAAAGAGCAGGAGTGAGCATCTTCAACATGGATTGTGAAGAAAAAAGGCACTATTTAGCTGTGTGTGTGTAGTTAAAAAGTAAAAGTCATGAGGCACAATCCATGTTTCTCAAAGTTACATTCAGTACTGCTTTAGAGATGCTCACAAACCTAACTCTCTTAATACAGAAGCTACAGAAAATTTATGATCTAGTATTAGACAGTACAAGTGTCTAAACACATTTATAATTACCGTATGTGCTATCAAAGTCTTCACAAAGAGGGCTCAATTTATAAATAGCGCTGCAAGAGTTACATAGCTGCATGGGCTTAAAGTACAGAATATATCCCGACAACTAATCACCCATTACAATTTCTGCAAGTCTGATCTCCAGTAGTCATAAAATAAGCTCCACTTTTAAAGAGCTAAACTGGCAGTGCACTTTGAAACAGGTTTTTCATCTGGCTGCCTAAGCAGCATAGTTTAGACAGCATCACAAACATTTCTTTTTATACATACCTTTTCAATACCAGTGAAATTGATGCAAAAACATAATAGCAATTGGACCTCCCTTGACATAAACAGCACTAATGTAAAGTTATAGTAGGCAAATGTGTACTATTGGAACGCAGAAGCAGCTAAACATCTTAAGAAATGTGAAATATCTAGAAAAAGCATTCCAAACTCCCAGACAGACTGCTTCCCCTTTGCTACATTCTAAAAGTATAAACTGTGATTCCTGTTTTAAATCATCTAAGAGGAATTCATGATGTGTATAATAAACAGAATATTTGAACATAAATCCACGCACTGTACACAGCATTGATTTTGAGGCTTCCATTTCCTAAAATATTTTAAATATTGTGCATGAACACAAAGAGTGAAATCCTGGCAACATTAAAGTCAATGGCAGAGCTCCCACTGACTTTAAAGGGCCAGAATTTCACCCCAAATTGCTCCCATAAAGCAAATCTCTTCCTGCTACCTCTGCATACAGCCCCCATTGACTTCAATGGGGGATGTATATGCAAAAGGCTGCATAATCAAGTCCATTGATCACACCATCTGCAAGTCACTAAATTTCACTGGACTCATTAGGGGAAAAGTACTGAGACAAATTCTCACTTATATACTGTAAATTACTTCTAATAACCAGTGATTTGGAGAATTACAGAATACAAGAATAGAGTAGGTTATTAAAAATGTGTAAAGTTGATTATCCCTTTAAGAAGCAGAAGTTTGACTGTTTGAGGTCAAAGGATTTTAAAATACTCCCTGAATGAATTATTTCATATGATATAAAAGTAGCCACAATTTTGATTCCTCCTCCACCCCAACATGTAATTAATTAATATTTTTAAATCAGTAAGTTTCTAAAGAGATGCATATTTCTGTATCATGACTCTCAATTTTATCAATTCACAGCAAGTAGAGGACAGGAGTTGTATTATGTGAGGAAATAAAAGATTTTTTCCATGATGTGAACTATGAAAAATAAATGTCTCCTTTAAAATGGAGACATTTAATATATTTTTAAGATGACTATTGGCGGAAGAGGAGCAGAAGTTCAAAAACTACATTTATATGATTATATCCTGGTAAAATTTCCACTGATTTCAGTAGGGCCAGGATTTCACCCATAGTTTTCTTCTCAAACTAAGGCATTTGTTTGCATGTTTAAATGCCTTATTTCGTTAGCTAGTTGGGTACTGTGTTTTCACTTTGCATCTGTTCAGAGATATTCTGAAAATTTTACAAAAGGATTGAGAAAATAAGGTGCTTTAAGCAAATAAATCCAAATTATATGGGGGACAAAATGTGATCTGCCCTAAAAATGTTCATTTTTTAAAATGATAAATATCCACTGTATTTCCAAAATTTACCAGTCTAACAGAAAATTTCAGAACTGCAATAGCCACTCTATGATGACTCTCCAGTACTTCTTGTCCAGCTAGACAACCAGCTAGTAGAAGAAACATAAATCAAGTAGCAAATCCTGTTCCCCAGTGATGTGTTGGCATCATTAATGAAGCTGATACACAGGAAAGGAATCAAGCAAAATCCTGTCTGGTACATGCTACATAAATCAGTAATCAGAAAGAAAGATCCACCAGTACCTAATTGAGGCGAACAGCTATTTGAGAAATGTTTTTTTTTTTTAAATCTCAAAAGAGGAAGGTCCAAAGAATAGTAAAGCAAATTTAAAATTAGTACTGGATAGTGGATCAATTAATCTTTTCATAATTGGATCATTGTGTTTTTGGCAGCAAACATCCAATGTACACATGATTTTCAACTCCCAATCATTTTCATATTACAAAAAACAAATGCATTAAAGAAACTCCATCTTAATAACTTTACACTATTGCTTTAAGCACCATCCTTAGGGATTCAGATACGTCACATTATCTCCTTCCCCCCACCCCAATCAAACCCAGGGAAACTAATTTTTATAAACTGAAGGTGAAAAAAGGGGTAATTACTGTGATTTTTAAAAAAGTTACATGTAGGTATTCACTGCAGTTTGTTAAAACACAGTGTCCCCAGTACCCAAACATCTGTTCACTAATCTCAACTACACTTAATCTACCAGGTGTTTCAAGCTGCTAATAACGGCAAATCATACAAGTTTACAATAGTGATGTAAGGCGGTTACATAAACACATTTATGTCAAGTTCACCGTGTCTCAACCACACATTTGATTTTCTTTTTCCTCTTTCAAATGTTATAAAAAGATACAGACTAATTTTAGGTAAAGAGAACTTCTGGACAATGTGCTGTGTTAGTAAAGTTGTAGAGGTCATTGAAGTGCATTTCAGTGATGTCCAACAGTTAACTAAAATAGGAAGCAGAACAGCAGATGAGATGGTTTTTACTTCACATGTAACAAAACTGGTGCAAAAACCACTTTCAGCTAATTACTTGTAACCTTTTGGTCCAAATACATAAAATATGCAGTATTTACAGCATTTTACTCCTTTTGTAAATGCAATGCTTTAAAACACATTATAAAGCACCTTAGTAAAAATATTCTACAGGTAAAAGTATAGAAGAAGTAGGAAAACCCAAACCATACCACAGCTCACTAATGGAGTCATAATATGGATTCACCAATATCTCAGTTTACAGTCATTATGAAGAATCCATGGAGCAACTTGATACTGAATTTACTAGGGTTTTTTTATATTGATGTATAAGCATTAACTAGAACTGCAGGCAATGCCAACTTTCTTTGCAGAATTTTCCCAACTTCAGTTGGCAGTTGGGGTGAGGGAGGAAAAGGAAATACTGCCTCGATTCTCTTTTTACAATATTAATATGGAAATTATTTTTTAAAAACACTAATGATTAGTTATAACTTTTCTTTTTAATAAAACCACATTTATATATGGGCAAATCCAGCAGCAGCATTTCTTAGCAGAACATGATTGACCATTCCAATGAATATCATGTAACGTGACTCACAAAAACAAAGCACAGATGTCAACCAGTTATTAACACTATTCATAATTGTATACAACCAAAATCTCCATGTAGAAGCTGGGAAAACAGTTGATTTCTTGTTTACAGAAGTTTAAATGAAAATAAATTGCTCTGAGAATCAACAACAGCATAAACAGAAGCATTTTTTGTTTATATTTTCAACCAAAACCTCTGTGCAGTTAATATCTGTAAAGGAAAATGTAGGTTTCTTCAGGGAAAGGGTAGTAACTCCCACTGAAACTATTAGTTAGATAAAAGAACTGAAGCTTAAGTCAAGTATCCAACACCTTTGGTGTGATCCACAGCCCACTTTCCTCAGCTCTAGAGAGAAATACCTCAGAGGTCTACCAGCACACTATTTTCCAGGGCTGAGAACTAAGATGACAAAGTGACCAAAGGTTTAGTCCATTAATCTAACAGTATACCTTGTTCTTAGTTCGACTTAGGGTAAATCTTTTCATAGAAAAAGTTTTGCGTCAGAATATACAATTCTCCATCTTTTTCCCGAACTGCATGTGCTCTGACAAACTGAAATTGCTCCAGTGCAAATTCATAGAACTCATTCTCCATTTTCCAAATTTCCGACTGCTGCAGCTTGGCAATGGTTTCTTTTGTTGGGAGCTTTTTCTCTGTTGTTTTCCTAAGATGAGACTTTTTTCCTAAATGGAAAATGAAAGCAGTTATAACTCCACTTGCACTTACAAGTTTAAATAATTCCAGAATTGTACCGTACAGGCTGCAGTTGTTTTATTTGCACAGTTTCTTCAATCAACATTTTGATAAATTGTATCAAAATTGATAGAACTCAATCCCAAAATTATTAATATAACCATGTGGGACCGGTAAATTGAAACCTCTGCCACTAAGCATTAATGCATTTTGCATTAGTGTTTTCTCAGAGAACCTGCTCCTCACTCCATGCAAAGGACTCAGTTAATAAAGCCCCAAACAGGAAATAATCACTTAATGAATTGTGTTACCCCACATAATGGACCTGTAAGATCTTTATTTCAAACTTGATTAATATCTACTTGGAAATTACTATGGATACTAAATACTAAGAAATTAAGAAAATTCAAAGCCAGAAGCATCTACTACCAGGAAAGCTGGTTCAGAGAACACACTTTGTTTAAGGTGCAGCTTTACTAATTTTAACACTGACTATCACTCTTCATAAGAGCGATAGTTGAAAAATTTAAAAAACTGCATATAAAATGTTAATTTTGCATATTTAGTGGCTTCTAAACAATAATCTTGTCCCTCTTCCTGTTCAGAGGCAGAAGTCCTGCCCAGAGTCCTACATCATCACATGCAGCAGGGCCAACAGCAGCTACCTAGAGAGGGTTCAGCTATTTCTAACGGCAGCAGTCTATGATAACCAAAGGAGAGGAGAAACATGCATCTGTATGTCCATAGCCCAAACAATCTGATGCAGGATGGGGACAAAAAGCCCTTGCAAAGGTAAAACATCAGGGCAAATAGGTAGGAGCATGCTAAAAACAAACACAAACCCAAACCCAGCAGCTAGAGGTCCAATTTGAAATAGACTTTGGGAGGCTGTAAGTCTCATGGGGTATGCCTACACTGCGCTTTACAACCTAGAGCAGCAAGTCTCAGCTGTGGAAATACTTGGGTCAGGATAGAGCTCAGGCTCTGAAGCCTGGGGAAAAAGGTGGGCTTCAAAGACTGAGCTCCAGTCGAAGCATCTATCCAGCTGTTTTTAGCACCCAAGCACAAGCCCAGGTCTGTAGATCTGGGCTCTGAGACTTGCTGCCACAGGTTTTAAAAACACAGTGTAGACATACCCATCATGACTTTATGGGCCTCCAAACGTACAGGTACCTTCAGACACAGGTAAAATGGGCATTCTCTATGCCTGCCAGAAGGGGATTTAGATTTAGTATAATCCAACGTCATGCTCTTTGGAGATGTGAATGTTTCTTCATCTTGGTTTGGAAAGTGCTCGCCACTTGGGTGCTACAACAGTAGAAGTAATAAAAAATGGTTACTAACCTTTCCGTAACTGTTGTTCTTCGAGATGTGTTGCTTATGTCCATTCCACATTAGGTGTGCGTGCACCGTTGCCAGAGATTTTTCTCTCAGTGGTATCCGTCGGGTCGGCTCTTGCACCCTTTGGTGCCGCACACTTCTGCACTAGTATAAGGGGCGTCATCGGCCCCGCACCCTCTCAGTTCCTTCTTGCCGCCTAACTCCGACAGACGGGAAGGAGGGTGGGTTGTGGAATGTACATGAGCAACATCTCAAAGAACAGTAGTTATGGAAAGGTTAATAACCGTTTTTCTTCTTTGAGTGCTTGTTCATGTCCATTCCACATTAAGTGACTCACAAGCAGTACCCAAGGAGGTAGGCTTGGAGTTCATGGGCATGCGGATTGTAACACTGCTCTCCCAAACCTGGAATCACCTCCAGCCTGCTGGGTGATGGCATAGTAGGAGGAGAAGGCATGCACTTGAATCAGGACCTGGGCCAGAAATGCCGCCAATGAGCCCTGAGCTCTTGTCGAATGAGTAGTCAAGATAGCAGGAGGTGGAATATCTGCCTACTCGTAGCACACTTGAATACAGGAGATTATCCAAGATGAAATTCTCTGGGCTGAAACTGACAGGCCTTTCATTCTCTCTGCTACTGCCACAAAGAGTTGTATAGATCTACAGAATGCGTCTGACAAAGTGGGTATTCATCCATGAAAGCTTATGCTCCAATACATCTGTCAGTCTATAAGGTGCCACAGGACTCTGTTGCTTTTTACAGATCCAGACTAACACGGCTACCCCTCTGATACTTGACAGAATGGTTTAGTCCACTCAATGTAAAAGGCTAGGGAACATCTGACATGCAATGAGTGAAGCTGTCATTCTTCTGAATTCCTGTGTGGTTTCAGGTAGAAAACTGGCAGGAAAATGGCTTGGTTACTATAGAACTGCAAAACCGTCTTCGGCAGGAATGCTAGGTGGGGGGCGCAGTTGAACTTTGTCCTTGATGAACACAGTGTATAGTGGTTCTGATGCAAGGGCCCTGACTTCTGAGATGCTTCTGGCTGAGGTATTCACTATCACGAAGGCAGCCTTCCAGGAGAGAAACAGCAGAGGGCATGATGCTAGCGGCTCAAAGGGAGGGCCTATGAGTCTTGACAGGACCAGGTTTAAATCCCACAGGGAAATCGGCTCACAAATCTGAGGGTAAAGTCTCTCTAACCCTTTAAGAAAGCAGATGGACATCTTGTGCAAGAAAACTGACCTACAGTTCACTGGCAGCTGGAAGGCTGAGATTGCCGCTAGGTGTACCATGATAGATGCAACAGCCAGACTTTGCTGTTTTAGGTGGATCAGGTATTCCACTATAGATTTAAAGGAAGACCGAATGATTTGGAGATAGACCTTGTTAGGAAGACAATATTGAAAAACGCTTCCACTTGGCCACATAGGTAGCCCTAGTAGATGGCTTCCTACTACCTAGCAAGACCTAGCGGACTTGTTCTGAACAGGCTTGTTCCTCCAGGCGCAACCATGGAGTTTCCACAAGATCAGGTGAAGGGCTCCGAGGTTCGGGTGGAGTAAACAGCCCTGGATCTTGTGAGATTAGGTGCATTACTGACAAGTCTAGCAGAATGCTGAACCAGTGTTGGCATGGCGATACCAGGGCTATTAAAATAATGCTCGCCTTGTCCTGCTTGATTTTCAGAAGGACCTTGTATACAAGAGGAACTGAAGGACATTCATAAAATAGGAGATCGGTCCATAGAAGCAGGAAGGCATCTGAAAGGGACCTCGGGCTATGACCATGAAGCGAGCAAAACTAATGGTATTTCTTGTTCTGCCTGGTTGCAAACAAATCTATCTGGGGAGATCCCCATCTTTGGAAGATGAACCTAGTGGCCTGGTGAGAGGAGAAAGATCAGCTGAGGTGATCTGCCTGGGCGTTCTGAGCTCCCAGAAGATGGATAGCCTCAAAGCGAATGGAGTGCTTCATGCAGAAGTCCCATAGATGGACGGCCTCCTGACACAGGACAGAGGAACATGCTCCTCCCTGCTTGTTGATGTAGAACATGACTGTGTTGTCCGTAAGTACTCACACTACTTTGCCTGTGATTTGGGGAAGAAACACTTGGTAAGCTAAGCGGACCGCTCTGAGCTCTCTGACATTTATGTGTAGGGAGAGCTCTTTGTGGGTCCACCAACCCTGTGGTCTTAGGAGGTCGAAATGGGCTCCCAAGCTAGATCGGAAGCATCTGAAATTAAGGACACTGATGGCTGGGGGATGACAAAGGGAATGTCCGCCATAGCTGGTTGGGGGTCCTTCCACCAGTTGAGAGAGGCAAGGACCGGAGCTGGAACTGTAAGCACAAGAAGCTGAGAAGCAGTCAAGTTGCTGAGCCCTGAAATGCTTCCTTGAGGGAGGCAGAGCATAGAGGCCCAGGGACCTGAGGATAGCCCTGGAGTCGTTCAGGCCATGAAGCTTTGTGTCTGTTTGCTCTGAAAACAATGAGGTACCCTCGAATGGGAGGTCTTGGATTGACTGTTGGACCTTTTATGGTAGCCCTAAGGATTGCAGCCAAACATTAGACTCAAGACCACTGTGGAAGCCATCGTTCTGGCTACTGCAACAGCTGCGTCCAGGGTTGCCTGGAGTGAGGCTCTATGTTCTTTTCCTCCTCTAAGAAGGCAGAGAACTCTTGCATGGAGCCCTGAGGCAGCGAGTCCTTAAATTTTGTCAAAGAATCCCACATATTATAATCGTACCTCTCCAGCAGGGCTTGCTGGTTCAAGATATGAAGTTGCAATCTGCCTGTTGAATAATTTTTTCTGCCAAACAGATCTAGTTTCTTTAAGCCTTTCTGTTTGGGGGTAGTGCTTGTCTGGCCCTCTCATTAGCTACTGTTACGACTAGGGACTCAGGAGGAGGATGAGAATATAAGTACTGGTACCAACTGGATGGCACATAGTATTTCTTCTCTGCCCTCTTCAAAGTGGGAGGAAGAGAAGATGGGGTCTGCCACAGGGCTCTGATCAGACCATAACAACCTTGTTGATGGGAGGGCCACCTCAGATGGTGATGCAGTGAGCTGCTCAATCAAGGTGGTCTCGTTTGGGGAGGAAGAGGCCTGTACTGGAGGGGGAGCTTCCTCCTCTTCTTCTGCCCTGATTACACACATTGGACCCACATGTTGTGTGTTGGTACTGGACTTGGTACTAGAGTCGGGGTCCGATGCTGAATGGAGCCATGCAGGAGCCCACCTCTTGGACGCCACTGAGTAGGACTGGTGGGATGTAGGATGGATAATGGCAACAGCTCTTGGGATGGGTGTAGGGCTCCACCTCAGACTGAAGAAACGTCCTCCTGAGGTGACCACAGGGGACCAGTACCCCTTATTTCCGCCAGTTGGTGCCGAGGGTCCAGGGACCGGTGCTGGACCAGGAAAGACCTCACAGATGAAACATGGCCTGGCTTGCCTTTGGAAGATACCCAGTACCAGGAAAGAGCTTGGAGCCCCTTGTTCTTTTCTGCTCATGCTCATCGGAGCCGGAGGTTGTGGCACTGGAGTCGGCGGTACTGGGAGAGAGAGATCCCTGGCTGCTGCAAAGGCCTCTGGGGTAGAAGGCACTGTGATGACTTCCTGACATCTGCGGGGAGTTGGGGG